TCCTCAACCTATAGGTTGTGTCGTACATAAGAGAATTGAAACAAAAAGACCCTGGTATATTTGCCTGGGAAATCAGGGACAGACTATTACAGGACGGCGTTTGTGATAAATACAACGTGCCTTCAGTCAGTAGCATTAGGTTTGCATTGAAAACACAGTTATGATTCAAATTAGAGACAATCTAACAGTCATTTGCAATATTTTGAACCAAAAGCCGAATCCTTCGGAATAAGATAGGAATGACTCCGAGCGGCAATTCATCGACACCGGCATCAGTGTCTCATTTGCATCACCACCACCACCATCACCACCCGTCCTCGCACGCGCCCACACTAAGCACCTATACCTTAGACGGCAAAGACAGCGTACGTGGCGTGACAGCTGCCGTATCCCTGTATAACCCCATATACGCGCCCTATCCCTGCGCTGGAAGTATGACCAATGTCTCGATGTCTCACCAAAACTCGTCAGTGCCCTCACCCACACAAATGGGCGCAGTGTCCGGCTCTGTGCCCGTACTGGTCCGCGACGGTAAGCCAGGCCATCATCACGTGTCTGCTCAGGACCTAACCAGTGGGATGTCTAACATAACGAGTGCCGAGTTATCACAACTGCCGTCAGGCCCTCAATGCATGACTCCGTTCAACATGAACGCCGTCATGCCATCCGTGTACGGACTCATTCATCAGCACCGGTGGTGGTAATGCCGGTGCTCTCTGTGCTCCTATTAGGCACTGGCATATGAGACTGAAGGGCATAATAGTTGTCGTATAAGGCTATGCATTATTGAAAGCTTTCACATATATATACACTCTTTCGGGACATAATTGTATATGAATTCATTATTTCTATATTTTAATAAACTTTTATTTTTCATTAATTATATAAAATAAATATTTGTATAGTTTTATTGTATAGTCTTATTACTATAGCTATAGCTATGCCTATCGTCACTGATAAAAATCATTACACTTATCACTTATTTGGTAAGCAATTCAAATGTATAAACATTTTAAACACATTTATAAAACTAATTTTTTGTTAATAAATAAATCTAATTAAAAATTTAAAGGTTTTTAAATTTATTAAAATTAATAATTATAAATCCTGATGTGCAATAAAGTAGGGTAACACAATGTGTACAAAGTCATGAGAAAAATATATAATGGTTGTGGCGTATATGCGGCTCTCAATAGGGCTGACAACTCATCGAAATACTCGGGACTATAGGATATCTTTCCCAAATGGATTTTCTTGAACACCATCTCATTTCTGGTCAGAGTTCCCGTCTTATCAGTCAATAAATACGCGATTCGACCCAAATCTTCGGGGATAGTAGTGGTGCGCACCAGTGTTCCCGGTATTTCCATATCGCGTTGAATCATATAAGAGTAGACAACTCTTCCCATCTCGAGGTTAACCCTCAGACTAATGGGTATAATATACGAAAATAAAAGTACAAAACGAAACCAATATCTAAAGTACGGGCCATTGAAACCTAAATGTCCAGNTCCATATCGCGTTGAATCATATAAGAGTAGACAACTCTTCCCATCTCGAGGTTAACCCTCAGACTAATGGGTATAATATACGAAAATAAAAGTACAAAACGAAACCAATATCTAAAGTACGGGCCATTGAAACCTAAATGTCCAGAGAAATAAGGATTACTTTGTTGTTGCAAAACAGGTTACCGTAAAACACAAACTAACAAACCTTTCAAACAAATCATAGCAAAGGCTAATATAACGACGGCTGCGAACAGCACTTTAGTGATAGAGTTGACCTCATAGTCAAGAAGTCCTACTTTACTGCGCGGCTCGTTGTTGTTCATCATAGACCGGGTCTCTGGGCCCGTATATATCACAATACCTATTGCAGTACCCGATGCTATCACTGTATTGGCCCACAATGTGTTCTCAATGTTCAACGAAATCTCTTTATTGCCTAAAATATAAACAATAAACTATTGAAACAACAAATGCCAATAAATTGAAAACATTTCCAAATACCGGAATCGAGTGTGAATTTGCCGTTAAAACTGTGTATATCGCGTCGGGGCTCCTCTGCGTCCACATAAGCGTCTAAACTGAACAACTGGTCGTCCGACTCGAGGCCCTGAGTGGAGGACACGGCGAGCCGTAGTTTCCAATCGGTTTCGCCGTCCAATTGGTCGGTGCGCACAAAGCAGGCGCCGTTCCTCTCGCTGGTGCGCAGGAACACCATATCCGCGGGCACTCTCTGGTCTTTGGACACCACTATAAGGTCTCCCACTTTGATGCGAGAGCTGTGAACAGCGAGCGGTCCGTCTCGGGTCAGCTTCTGATACAACTGACTGTTGACCGCTTTGTCGCGTTTGAAGCGCAGTATGTCGTCGACGGCCTCCCGGAGCAGCGTTACGCCCAACACGAAGCCTAATGGCGCCCAATAGGTGTAGAGATAGCCCACTTTGAGTGAGTTTATGAACTGAGAACAGGCCATCAGAAGGAAGTATAGGTTGAGAAAGAACTTAAACTGATTGAACAAAACGATTGGCAAAAATGTCAAAATATTGTATTTCTGGTTTCGGACGATATTCGCCGGAAACGATTGCCTCAACTTCTCGTTGAAACGGTCTGATCCGCGCACGTATACCGTCCGCGGCTTCAACTGCTTCTTCCCGAACAGTAACCGAACCATAGCTGACAGACAGCCCGCAGTCAATACACATAAACAACACAATATAGATGTCTTTCCGCGAGACTTCTTGTTCCTGTCATCCATACAAAAACCATTCAAAATACATATCAATATTCAAAACAAACACTTATGGCATTGAATGTCATTAAATATTGTTACCAATAGTGATATTCACAGGCATTTCATAATATTATTTATTTGTATTATTAGTAATAATTTATTATTCAATATTATTCAATACTACTCAACACTTATCTCAACTCTATCTAAGAGACAGGTAGACTAACAACACAACAACACACACACTATATAAGACTTAACATGAGCTATAAAACCTACTAATTATAACATAATTAGTATAGATTACAAATAGTTCAGCAAAATAATAGAGAGATTGACATAATTTTGTTCACAAAAACGCATTCAAACCAAAATAAAACACATTTCGTGAGTGGATGTGAAAAATAATAGAAAAGTTGCAAAAACGAGAAATAGTGTAAATGTAAAATGTGTTATGAAAACATGAAAAAGCATTAAAAATCTATTAATTATTAATATTTGAAATTCAATGCCATTATTAAGCAGCAAATGATTGCTAACAGCGATAATGAATAGAGAGAAATTGTAAATGTAAAATGTGTTATGAAAACATGAAAAAGCATTAAAAATCTATTAATTATTAATATTTGAAATTCAATGCCATTATTAAGCAGCAAATGATTGCTAACAGCGATAATGAATAGAGAGAAATGACATTCAATTACAAACTACTCATACATATGACACTCAATGACACAAACAAATGACTGAAGGAATGGATCCATACTTTTTGAGACGTTTGGTGGTCTTCGTCCTCAGCAGTGAATCAGATTCAGTCGATTCAATGCCCGATTCGTCCGACGAGTGGTTTGTCGGCAGGAATACCAGAGTTTGTGAATCGGATCCCACGCTCGACGAGTGACTCAAGTCTTGTATGTCTTCGAGTGGTGAACCGATGGATCCCAAGGAACCGGTGGTCAGCGGCGGTGGTGTGTGTCGTGAGGGCTCGACAATTGACACTCTCTTCCGATTACTACTCTTTTTATTGCTATTAATAATGGATTTATTAGTCTTTGATTTGCTATGGAGTCCACTATTGGCGCCGTCACTGTCCACAAGATAAGACATCGTCACTGGCTTTGACACACGGATCACATGAACAACACTTTGTCACCAAATAATTGTCCACTTTTTCCATCATTTCATACCATTCTTCACATCAAGAGATCACTCAATGAGTCAATCAATAAATGTTTGATAAAAGTGTTGTTTGTTTCGCACAATCACTCAAACCATATATGACTACAAAATGCTAAACAAAACACTATTTAATAATTGTTTATCAAATGTAATGATTATATAAATTGTAACAAAAGTGTTACCAAAATACTATCAATTGGTTTGTGTTTGCAATCATTAATATAATACTTATTATAAGTAATAATGATATGAATTAAACATTATTAGTAATAGTAATGCATTTTGAGCGACATTTAAACGACAATTCATATGAATATTACACTCAATTCGTGTAAATCATTGTTTACTAGAGATGAAAGTCAATATACACAAGCCGTACAAAGCTGTGCACACTATGCCCGCCATACACCCTATCACACGTGTATTACGTAAACGCCATTCATCTAGATGTGAGGGGTGGGAGGGATATCTACGTCTGTTTCTATGCATTCCCACACCTCCTCTACTGAGACAAGCATTCAATGGTCGCCCCAATTGTGGTCACATCGATGGCTGTTATGAGTGTGCTTTGAATCATTGAATATAGAGGCCGACAAAACACCGATTAATACACTCTTTAACTGTATTTGAATTTACATTTTTGTATTATATTTCAAATATCATTAATTACCATGTCCAATCAAATAATTACTATTCCTAACAATAAAGCTATAATAAATTTATTAATAATGACATTGATGCTTTGAAATGGTCTGGGTATATTCAGTGAACCAATTCTCTAACTTACAAGTTAGACTCTAACAACAACTACATTGTAGTGTAGTTCAGATTAAACACATGATTAAATAGATTTAATTAGTTAGCACACATACAGTATTATTTTTTATTCTGTAATTTTTTCCTATTTGTAAGAAAGTTATAATTACTTTTGATTTCAAAGTTTAGCAAATATTTGTAATATACAAAATTTTGCATAATTAATAACATTAAAATGATTAAAAATTCTGTAACAAATGATAGTATAGTTTTGAAGACTATAGTGGACATACATAAATATTCATACCATATTACTTTATAAACTAAATTATAATGCGATAATGTAAATGTGTGTAATCAAATCAGAGTATACAATATACACTAAAAAACACAGAATGTTATAATAAGCTTTTATGATAAATATACGGTAATACTTAATGTACTTATTATTGTAACTACAGAATAAAACCACCCAGTTAATACAATATATTGTTTATAAGACAAATATAATCTTGAATATAATAAAATCTTTCCAACTTTAAACTTTTCCATGGAAATACAATTTATAAACTAGTGGACAGAAAATATATTTCATATGATGTGTATTTCAAAGGCCTATATTGTGTCGATTCTTGAGTACAGCATATTTGGTATGGAAAGTGCATACAATTCTACTGCAATATTCTCTACAATCCATACTATGCCGTACAGTATGTTTTGTTAAACATAATTCTGATGAATAGATGAGAGGAAAGGACACCCAAAATACTGAATTATCAGTTCATTGATTGAAAACAAGAAATTCATTGATAAATCGACACAACTGTGTGGGAGGTATGGATGCGCCGATAAAATCAGACCTTCTCTTCCTTCTTATGTTTGAAAGTATATATAGATTTGAAATGATTTCAAATAAAATAAAAATCATTTATTTCAGTTGAATGGATGTGTAAAACAAGACAAATGTTTACTAATGTATTCATATAGTGATACAGTAGTGCTGTTTTGGTGGATAACCTCTTGCCTTCTGTACAATATAGCCTATTGTGGTAATGAGATCCCAAACATACAATAACCCGGTCTTTGAATAATACAATTCTTACGCTACACTTCTCAATGCCTCTAATAATTTCTAAAAATATTTCGCAGACATTCTTCTCAATCCATACATAAATACATAAATATCCTCTCTCTCTCTCTCTCTCTCTCTCTCTCTCTCATGCCTCCTCCAAACATGTAAATTACAGCACTTATCTGTTATGCTTCACTCAAGAATCTGTTACCTCTTTATCTAAACAGTGGATCTAAAGACACACAAAAATATTTTTACTTTATTTTACTTATTAACCAAAATTTATACACTAAGCGTCATATTTCCAAAACAGTCAACTCATAGACACCATTCAAAATGTGTTTCACGAAAATGAGCTTTTCCTCTTAAATATTTCACAGATCTTTATCCATCACTTAATCTATTTTTTGTAAAAATAATTAGAATAATTAAACATATGTAAATTTAGTATTCTATTAATTTTACAATATACACACTATATAATTCTTACATACTGTATTATATGGATTCTTCATCTACATTACAAAATTATTTATTACATTAAATAAACTCTAATACACTTTCTAATACAGTATTGCTAATTATCTCACTAACCAAAGTTTGTTAAATATTATTATTATTATTATGAAATCTATGAAAATCAAATTTAATTTAATCATCATAAAATTGGATTTAAAATATATCATAAAAATAAATAAAACAATCATTACTGTATTATGTTTTGTTTTGGTTTACGGTATTATGGAAAAAGTAATTATACTTTTCAAAAATGGTTGCGAATATTATTTGAAGCATATTTGCGTCCATCCATTCATTCATATGATTCTTAATAATACGGGAATACTATTAGTATTAGTTCAGTGATTAACCAATTGATCCTTTACTTCAAGTGATGCACTGTTACCACTCACTCACTCACTCTCGCTATAATTCATTGCTCAATATACTCACCAAAATATGTGTGAATTGTTACTTAAATCAATCAGAAAATTAATACAAAATTCTTCCATTTAATTACACAAAACTAAAACTAATTGAATAAAAGATAAATTGTTAATTATAATTGAAAATATTTGTATTTTTCTGTATAGTTGACTAAATATATATATTAAATAATAATGCCCATATTTTATCTCAATTTAAAATATAATAAAATATGATAAACTCTAATATTTGTTTTAAATAAATATATTAGTTATGAAGTATTTAATAAATATATATTGAAATCACGGCTAATGATAACGAAGACAAGATCTATCAGTGAATCTGTAGTATAGGTTTAAAACCGTATTGCATAAGTTATACTGTAGTGAAAGGGAACTGTAGCACAGAATATGACTGTATGCGCCAATGAAATAGACTCTATAACTGCGAGTAAATATAGATTATATTTATTATCATTTAAATTTGTGCACATTTTTTCATTGCACACAAATATTTAACTAATTATTATTTCTGATAACATATTGAGTGCGAGAATCGGGAAAACATTGACTTAAATGATACTATAGAATAGCTTTTGGCAAATATATATTCAATTATATCAATAGATGTTTGTTACAGATATTTGTTAAGCGAGTGTCACATCAGGCGTAGAGACAGACATCGGAGGGCTCACCGCATACACCACCAGTGCGTTGGGTTGGGTGACGACGTCTATATATTTGAAACTATTTCCGCCGCAAAACCTCTCAAGACTTCTTTACATGAAATTATAAAAAGAAAGAAAAAATAGAGTAATAGTTATGTGAAGACATGAAGAATACAGAGAGACTTTTGAACTCTCTCTCTCTCTCTCTCTCTCCTCGCACACTCACACTCTTCTCACTCACTCACTGTTATATTCATATATTTGACAAAATTATTCTGTAGAGCAAAAAACAAACTGTTTTTCACATACAAATGGGTAAACATATCCATGTCTTATGAATGGATATCTAGTCAGTCATACAGACATTCTTTGAATGCCATAATTGACTTCTTATTCCATAATAATTATTGCTTTTTGCGGCTTCTTTTGCTGTTTATTTATAGAGATTAACGTTAAACACAACAACACAACACTCCATTCAAACCGCAACACTTGTACCCTATAGACAGCCCTGTATTTCATTTATTATTCGCTATCTATTTAATCATCTATTCTGCTATTCTGTAGATTCTTATAAACTCCTACACAATAAATATATACTGTCCTAAAATAAAATTTTAAAAAATTATCAAAAATTAAATTGACTACAAAATTAATATTTAATTATATTTTAGATATTAATTTTCATAATTGTTTATTTGTTTGCAGCAATTATACAAACAGGGTGCTTGTTTAAACCAGTGAAGTAAAATTGAAAAGACTTTTCATCTAATTATATTAACCCCTGTTGTGAGTAAATATGAAACCTCTTTCACTGTGCCATAAGTGCCGAAAGGGTGGGTTCATAACCATAACTATATATCGTCTCATTTTCCAAAAGTTTACTCTCAACTCGTGCTTCACTACAATCTAAAACACTATGCTTTTGAACAAAGATATTGTGACAAAATTATCATTCAATTCAAGTAAGTTTAAAATATTTGTTCATTAGAAACATGCAACTCACCAAAAGTACCAGGAATATTTTTCTAAATTAAAAATTCCTATAAATAAAGTTTGATTTTGAGATCAAGAAGTGTTGGGCACCGCCTGAGAGGCAAAGAGAAACCTTTGGGACAGAAGTTTGAGTGGAGAGAGAAAAGGATGCGATAGAGTGTGGGCTGAGAGTGGAGGGCATCCCGAAAGGCGGCTGACGGCGGGCCTTCCAGATGTGCACAGACTTAATGACCCGACGTATTGAGGCAAAGACGGCATACATTGGTTTAATTTGAATAGATTTTTATATAATAACTGCGATTCTTATGCATACGGGGAAAGGGACAGACGACTATTTACTGCATTTATAAAAAATCATATTCTTGTAATTTATGTATTTTTATAACATTTTAAATAATGTTTTAATACATAAAAGGACTGGAACCGCATTCAAAGCAAAAATTAGTCTATACTCTAATGCGAAACATATTCTTAATATTTTTCTTTTTAGTGACAAACATATGACAAACAATTATATATTGCTTTAGAATTCTTGATAAAACACATATTTCTCTAAAACTGTAGTCTTAATGGCATACCATATGAGAATAATAAGTACTTGTATTTTAACAGATATATTAATAGCCAACTTTGATAACCAGACATCAGTTGTTGCAGTGTTTTTGATGACAATATGTATTCTTTGAGTACTTACTTAAAAATATATCTCAAATACAAAAGCAATTCATTTTAATTCGTATTTAACTTGTATTCAATGACACGATTTTATTGCTATATTAATGGGATTTTATTATTCAAAGAATAGGTACCTAATCACCAGAATATAAAATATTGCGGATTTTTGCTTCACTTAACATGCAAACGAGCTCTCTCTCTCTCTCTCTCATTCTCCTTTTATTTCTGGTACTTATATCAAATCATGTCATCCCTATTACAGTACTACTGTTCATAAAAGCATTATTTCCACAAATACCTTCACAGCTATATACTGTATACACAGTACTGTATTACCGTAGTATTGATAATAAATATTACTGAAACCAAAGAATTGGTGTTAACTATTAATGGGAACTATATTTACAGTAAAAACATAGACATACAAAGGCAGACCGGTTTATAAAATTACATTAAAAACTATATTTTTATAACAAACCTATCGTAAGAAGCGGTCTCTCATTTGTTTTATTAACATTACTATCACTGCATTGGATGGCTATGTAGTAGATGTGCGCCACCCTCTCCACCATCAAGAAGATGCTTATTCGTGGAACAAGTGGTGAGAGAGAGAGAGAGAGGGAGAGAGAGAGAGAGAGAGAGAGAATGCCAAAGCATATTATGAACTCTATAGAGCAGTTTTGATGCCGCATCATATAAACAACAGATGCGAGTGCCACTCAAAACGCATGTACCATACCGTACACCCATACCCATCACCATCAACAGCATCGACAGTGCGAGAGAGTGCCAACTGCTCAAGAAGTGAACAATTTGAGAGAGACTGCCTCACACTCTCTCAGACTCTAGATTTCAATCACAGCCCTCTCTGTGCTGTCAGTCCTTTTTAAAAGTGATTTCAAATATCTTAGGGTTCAGTAGTTATCGAATCTCTCATTTGTGCACAAAATAGTTCATCAGTGATGTGTACTTCAAGTTTCTCATCCCTGTCCGGTATGCTCTTAGCCTACATTTAATTTACATACAACTCTCAAACCCCTTGTCATACCTTAAATTAAACTTTTGCTACATTTGTCTTAAATAGATCCCCAGGGATACGGAGAAGTGAATCAATTGGGAGGTGTGTTCGTGAATGGTCGGCCACTACCTAATGCAATCAGATTGCGTATTGTAGAACTGGCACAGTTAGGTGTCCGACCCTGTGATATTAGTAGACAATTGCGCGTATCTCATGGTTGTGTGTCCAAGATATTGGCCCGGTATCACGAGACCGGGTCTATACTTCCGGGAGCTATTGGCGGCAGTAAACCAAGAGTTACGACACCCAAAGTATGTATTCATTACTTTCTGTATAACATTCATATGTTTGCACATAATTTATAGCCAATTATAGATTGCTATAGAATTCCAGGAAAAAGTAGTTTTTGTCCAAATGTTTGGTTCACTTTATTTCTTATGTAAATCTTGCTTTTCATTCAATTCTTTCATCAATTATTAAAAGTCAAATCAGGGTATAAATTCTTATACAAATTGTTAGCAAATGTTAGATTAATACAGTAGTATTTTTGAATATATTTATATAAAACTATTGTTCATTGATGTATTTAACAAAAGAATTCTATTAATTTTTAGAGGAATTATTAAAATTTTACAGAATTTTATTATAAATAGTCAAGAATTGATAAATTAAGTTAATTAAAATGGTAATAAGAATATTTGTAATTTATGGCATTTATATTTGATACTCATATAAGAATTTCTATCTGAACTGGATAATTACTTAATTTACTTAAACTTCAGTTACCTATAATCAAAGTATTATTACTATAAGTTTAACTAAATATGGATTTTAGAAGTTTTAAAAAATATATAATTTTCAAGTTTATGTTTTAATAATTTATTACGAGATCTATTCTACATTTTACAAACGATTCATAAAAATTTTAATATAACATTAGTCCAAAGTCTTTATTCATTCGTGTGAATGAATTTCTCACTTAATGTTTAATAAATACAAATATTTTTAAATGAGACTAATTCTAGTATTTTGTGTCTAGAATTTCACTCAATAATTAGTGTGTAAAACAATAAAATAAGCTATCAAATGAATATTATTTATAAACATGTTTATATAAGATCACCATTACGTCGAAAATGTTAAACATTAAAAAATTAAGAATAAATTTAATGCTAAGAAATCATATTTGAATTCAATTCATCTGTGAATTCGATGATTAAGTAATAAAATCAAATTCTTTGAAATTCTCTTTCATGTCATTATAACAACGAAAATGATAATCAATGCAAATATTCCTCAACCTATAGGTTGTGTCGTACATAAGAGAATTGAAACAAAAAGACCCTGGTATATTTGCCTGGGAAATCAGGGACAGACTATTACAGGACGGCGTTTGTGATAAATACAACGTGCCTTCAGT